AATGGTGCCATCCAGCTTGCTCTGGAGGGTTCTATTATATTTGATTCACTAAGTTCTTTATATAATTTCTTTGATTGCTCTATTTGTTCATCAGAATAATTTCTTAACAGTCTTGCTTTATGGTTTTGTGGTATTTCTTTTTCTGGAGTATCTAGTTCTAACTCTATTTCTCCAAGTCTTCCAAAGTATTTTTTATTAAAGGTTGTTCCTTTTTCTTCCTTCATTCGGAATATTTCCATATATTTTATAAATATCGGTCTCATTTTTTCTCTATATTCTTTGTTAGTATTTTTAATGAGTACTTCTATTCGCTCTTTTTCTGTTAATTCTTTTTCTCCAATCTTTATGTCGTATTTGTATTTATTTGTATCATTAAGTTCTTTGATTTTCTTCAGATCTTTACTAATTTCTTTAATTGTTTTTATTTCGTCTATTTTGGTTATATTTCTGATATGGTCTCCTTTTTGTATTACTTTGGGTTTGTTTGTGTAATTAATCATTCTGATTGTCCAATTATTTATTATTCTGTTCTGTACACATATGCCTTCTTTCGCAATATGCAATAGTGTTGTTATGAAATAATTCCCTTTTTTATCAATGTTAATTGCAGTCCACGTATTTGGTAATAATATCAGGTGACCATTACTTCATAATGGTTTTCCAGTTCCTAACGTGGGTATTATTTGTTTTCTATATTCATTTAGTATATGTGCTAATTCTTCATGAATCTTTAGTTTCATTTCTTTTTTCATTTCTATTGGTTTTGTCTCTAATATATTAATTTCTTTATCCTCATTTCCATACCTGTAATCTGGTGTTTTTTCTTTATAACTGGGTGTTCCAGGTCTACTTATTACTGGTCTTAAGTATGGTGAGTCTGATTCTTGGTTTATTCCTATTTCTATAGGGTCTTTGTTATATTCTGTGATTATTGATGGTCCTTCATTTCTTTGTTGTTCTTGTTGTATTCTAATATATTCTTCTTTTAGTATATTTTTATTTTCTTCTATTCTTTGCCTATAGTCTTGCATTTTCATTTGTTTTCTTCTTTCAAACGAGTCTTTTTTCGTTCTTTCAAATTGGTTTGTCAGTTGATCTATTTGGGCAGTGGCCTGATTTTTAATTACATTTTTAGCTATATTTTTGTTATTATCTTTTTTAAAGTATGATGGTGTTATGAGGTTAAGTGTATTTTTTATAAACGATGGTGCTGGTGACTTGATTTGTTCTTGTTCAATTTGTTCAGGTTGTTCCTGAATTATACTAGTATCTCTTTTTGTTCTTAAATACCCATCATCTCCTACTTCAAATTCAGTATTTTCCTGGTTTATTATTATATTTTGTATATTAGATTCTAACGGTGTTATACTAGGTATACTATCTGTATCTTTGAATGTTGAAACATCTTCTCTTTGTAATAATCCTTAAGATATTTTTCTTATAATTTCTTCATCATCTCTAGTTAGGTCACTGTTATATGTTGAACTGCTTTTGTATGATAAGTCGCTTGTTGATCCATTATTTATTTTTTTTCTATAATTATTAAAGTCTTGTTCAGTAAACAATACTTGGTTATTTTTTGGTTCAGGATTATAGTTTGAATATTTTATCTGATAATCGTATCGTGGTTCAAGTCTTTGTTCTGGTGTTTGGGATGTTGATCCAGGTTTATTCCAGTGTTCGAGTTTATTCCCAAAGTTGTCCAAGTCTCTTTGGTAACCTTTGTCTTCTAGTAGGCTTTCTGAGTCACTTTCTTTATCTATAGTTTCATATATGTTTTCTATTTTTTGTTTCTTTTCTTCTTCTAGTTGTTTTCGTTTTTCTGATTCTTTCTTTATTTGTTCAAGTAACTCTTCGTCATTATTGATTTGTTTTATTGGTTCTGTATTTTCCACATCTATCATTGCAAAATCTAGGTATTTCTGATTTGCTTTTTCTCTAATTTCATTATTAGGTTCTAATTCTGATGTTAATAATAGTGTTTGTACTACTGCATGTCAGTCTATCTCGTCCATGTTTCTGAATTCTTCAGGTTTCATTTCCAGAGTCTTTTTTATATCTATTTGATACCCTTCTTCTTTCTTTCTTATTTCTTTCTTTACAGATTCTTTTGTATAATGTTTCTGGTCGTCGTACCAAGTTAGGAAGTTATAGAGTTGTTCTTTTTCGGTCCCTCTGTAATTTCTAACTTCTTCTGGTAAGGTTGGTATGCTTTTAATTCTTTCTATTGTTTTGTGAACGTCTTTTGAGTTCATCCTATTTACTTTATTATATTGAGTTTCAATATCTAATATATTTAGCATTAAGTCTTCTAGATCTTCAGTAATTTCCTTAGAGTCTCCTTTATTTCGTTCCTTTTTGATTTTTTCGAGATCTCTATTTGTTGTATTTAACATTCCTAAAAACGCCGCTATTATTGGTGTTTTCAGTTGTTTCACTTTAGTTGGTTTTATTGCTGGTGAGTATTTGTTTCTTACATGGTTTATTTTACTCGCTATTCTCCCTGTTTTCTCATCAAGCAATCATTTACTTTCTGCTTCTTTTTTAGGGTTTTGATATTTTTCTTGTCTTTCTATCTTCAGGTTTGCCATGGCTTTCGTTATATATTCTATTGGATCTTCTTTAAATTGATATATTTTATGTAATGGTAATTCTCCATATTGTAATCCTTTAGTTGGGTCCCATTTATTTAACTTCTTGATTCTTGTTTCAAGTTCTTTATCTAGTTCTCTGTCACTTGATAATATGTCATTTGCATAGTACCTTAATGTTTGTACTTCATTTATTTGTTTTTTCTTATCCCAGTCTGTTTTTCTGGGTGTTTCTAGTATACTTGCATGCATTCTCTGTACTAATTCTTTAAATATTTCCTGTGCTAGCTGTCCATTTAGCAGGTGTTCATGGATTTCTTGTCCACTTCTGAATACCGTTGGTTTAATATTTATCATCTGGCCCGTTTTCGTTCTTTGTGTTCTAGCGCGAATGATGTTGTTCATATGTAACAGTCATATTTCTTTTCCATAATCCTCAATTACTTCGAGATTCTTTCCTGCACCTGCTGCAAAATAATGTTGTGTGTCAAAGCACAACTTTATCCGGTCTATCGCCTTACCGGTTGTATTCTTTTTATACCTTTCGTCTTT